TAGAATATTTGTAACTCAAAAAATAATACTGAGGATAATAAAAAACATGACTTTTAAAGAAAGCTGTAGAGGTATATTCAAAACCTCAAACATTTTAGCAGTTTATGCAGTGTACAGGGTGGTCCACGTAAGGTGACCCATATACTTATCTCAGAAACTACTCGAGTCACAAAAAATTTATAAGAAACAAATATTCACGAAGTAAAAAATATTTTTAAAATATTACATTTTCATTTATACAGGGTGTTCGGTTTTCCTTGGGACGATACCAACTTTCTTATTTTCAATGGAACACCCTGTATTTTTTTGCATTTTTGGATTCTACCCACTCTTTTAGGTATACTTTGTAAATATATTAAATAAGAAAATGTTAATACTTTTTGAGTAAAATTAAGATTTATTAAAATTTCTCTAAATGTAGACACTCGCTAAAAGTTAAAAATAATCAACTAAAAGTTATTATTTTTTATATTATGTAGTATCCATCTCTTTAATAATAAGTAAGCTATAAGTTAATTATTATATTTTTTGGAAAATATCATACAGGGTGTTTTCTATGTCCCGTTGAAAATAGCGATTTTAAAAGTTTAAAATCTTGTTTTTCTTCAATGGAACACCCTATATATTTTTGCATAATTGGATAGAATAAGTAATTACCTTTCATTTTATATATATATGTCCTATACCTAAACCTAACAGAAAAAAAAATATTCGCATTTTTCACAATTAGTAGCTTTTTTCCAATTACCTTAGTTAAATTTTCATTATTCAAATAAATAAATTTCAGTAACAACAAATAAAAATGCTTTTATATATAAATATATATTACTATAATAATTACCATACGCGCAAAGCTACTAATTTTGTAAAATGCGAATATTTTTTTTAGGTGATCCACGTAAGGTGACCCATATACTTATCTCAGAAACTACTGGAGTCACAAAAAATTTGTAAGAAACAAATATTCACTAAGTAAAAAATATTTTTATAATATTATATTCTCATTTATACAGGGTGTTCGGTTTTCCTTGGGACGATACCAACTTTCTTATTTTCAATGGAACACCCTATATTTTTTTGCATTTTTGGATTCTACACACTCTTTTAGGTATACTTTGTAAATATATTAATTAAGAAAATGTTAATACTTTTTGAGTAAAATGAGGATTTATTAAAATTTCTCTAAATGTAGACATTCGCTAAAAGTTACAAATAACTAAAAGTTATTATTTTTTATATTATGTAGCATTCATCTCTTTAATAATAAGTAAGCTATAAGTTAATTAATTTATTTTTTGGAAAATATTATACAGGGTGTTTTCTTTGAATAATGAAAATTTAACTAAGGTAATTGGAAAAAGCTACTAATTGTGAAAAATGCGAATATTTTTTTTTCTGTTAGGTTTAGGTATAGGACATATATATATATATATATATATATATATATATACAGGGTGGCCGATTTATCTGAAGACATTGAAATATTTCGAAAACTATGCATCGGATCAAAAAAAGTTTTGAATAAAATTTGTTCGCCTGGAAGGGGGACATCCAATGATACCAAAGTCGACCCCTCACCACCACCCCATGGGGTGGAGGTGGGGGCAACTTTAATATTCTAAATAGGAACCCCCATTTTTTATTGCAGATTCGGATTTACTATTAAAAAATAAGTAACTTTTATGGAAAAACTTTTTTTAAATTCCTGATAGATGGCGCTGTAATCGCGATTTTTGGGAATATCTTGAAAAATTGCAGATTCGGATTTCCCATTAAAAAATATAATTAGTGTATACGAGAATTGTAAGGGAATTCAAAATAAATTAAATTAAATAATTCCTTTTGATGTTCCCATGTTCCCATGGCCATGGGGTGGGGGTGGGGGCAACTTTAATATTCTAAATAGGAACCCCCATTTTTTATTGCAGATTCGGATTTACTATTAAAAAATAAGTAACTTTTATGGAAAAACTTTTTTTAAATTCCTGATAGATTGCGCTGTAATCGCGATTTTTGGGAATATCTTGAAAAATTGCAGATTCGGATTTCCCATCTTGGGTAATTTTAAAAATAGATGTTAACTTATTGATATACGAATAAAATCCAAAAATTAAACAAGTTTTTCTTTTTTTCGATCCGATGTGTAATTTTTTAAGATATTCCCAAAAATCGGGTTTCTTGCGATTACAGCGCCATCTATCAGGAATTTAAAAAGTTTTTCCATAAAAGTTACTTATTTTTTAATAGTAAATCCGAATCTGCAATAAAAAATGGGGGTTCCTATTTAGAATATTAAAGTTGCCCCCACCCCCACCCCATGGGGTGGTGGTGAGGGGTCGACTTTGGTATCATTGGATGTCCCCCTTCCAGGCGAACAAATTTTATTCAAAACTTTTTTTGATCCGATGCGTAGTTTTCGAAATATTTCAATGTCTTCAGATAAATCGGCCACCCTGTATATATATAAAATGAAAGGTAATTACTTATTCTATCCAATTATGCAAAAATATATAGGGTGTTCCATTGAATAAAAACAAGATTTAAAACTTTTAAAATCGCTATTTTCAACGGGACATAGAAAACACCCTGTATGATATTTTCCAAAAAATATAATAATTAACTTATAGCTTACTTATTATTAAAGAGATGGATGCTACATAATATAAAAAATAATAACTTTTAGTTGGTTATTTTTAACTTTTAGCGAGTGTCTACATTTAGGGAAATTTTAATAAATCTTAATTTTACTCAAAAAGTATTAACATTTTCTTATTTAATATATTTACAAAGTATACCTAAAAGAGTGGGAAGAATCCAAAAATGCAAAAAAATACAGGGTGTTCCATTGAAAATAAGAAAGTTGGTATCGTCCCAAGGAAAACCGAACACCCTGTATAAATGAAAATATAATATTTTAAAAATATTTTTTACTTCGTGAATATTTGTTCCTTACAAATTTTTTGTGACTCCAGTAGTTTCTGAGATAAGTATATGGGTCACCTTACGTGGACCACCCTGTACATATATTATATGAATGTCTAATTTTCTTTTTTAAAAATAAAAATATGTTTGAATTACAAACTCACCATCAATACAATACCCGGACTAGAGATGTAAACTACCCAAATCATAGGCTAACCTTAACAGAAAAGAGCTCCTGTTATATGTGTTTCAAACTGTACAATAAGTTACCAAACGATCTAAAAACTATTGTAAGTCTTAAGACATAAATCCAAAGTCAAAGAGATGTTAATAACTTTGGAACCATATTCTTTAAGAGAGGTTTTATTATAGAATTTTTGTTTTTATATATACATTAGGGTGATATTTTTTTCACGACAATTTTTATTTTTTCGCTCCCAACTCAAAATCTTGTTGAAAATGTTCAAAAAAAAATTCCTTGAAAATTTGAGCCCTTAATATTAACTCAAAGTACTCGACCAAAGCGTATAAAGATTTCCCATTTAAAATACACGTAAACTTTGATTATTTTTTTTTAAATATCTATATCTCAGCCGCATTTTATGCTATTGGATTGTTTCAAAAAAGGATTTACTCGTAATCAAAAGTTCTACAAAAATGCTTTATGTGCCATAGCTGTAATCTGCACATGTAGGATGGTACGGGTCACTAAATCTTATTTTAGTGAAAAATTATCATATTTTTGAAGATATTTCAAAAGTGACTGGATTCTTTGAAAAAATGTAAAGAACAAACTTGTAGAAAATTTAATTTTTTTTAAAAAAGGTCCTATCAGTTGAATCGCTAAGATTGATATTTCTTGAGATATAAAGCGTTTACATTGACAATTTATGAAATTTTTAGAATTTTCGTATCAAACTTTGTATACATGATGATTTTCAATTGTTTATCAGTAAAATTTCATGTAATTACGTTTTTTCTACAGTCGGGTGATTAAAGAAAAATAAATAACTCAAACAATCTAGCATAATTATTAATAACATAACTTTAAAGAAAAAAGATATATCTAACCTAAAAATTGATATAACGAGGTGTATTACATACAACATGTTATTTTATTAATAATTATGCTTGATTGGTTTAGTTATTTATTTTTCTCTAATCACCCGACTGTAGAAAAAACGTAATTACATGAAATTGTACTGATAAACAATTGAAAATCATCATTTATAAAAAGTTTGGAACGAAAATCCTGAAAATTTCATAAAATGTCAATGTAAACGCTTTATATCTCAACAAATATTCAACTGATAAGACCATTTTTAAAGAAAATTAAATTTTCTACAAGTTTGTTCTTTACATTTTTTCAAAGAATCCAGTCACTTTTGAAATATCTTCAAAAATATGATAATTTTTCACTAAAATAAGATTTAGTGACCCGTACCATCCTACATGTGCAGATTACAGCTATGGCACATAAAGCATTTTTGTAGAACTTTTGATTACGAGTTAATCCTTTTTTGAAACAATCCAATAGCATAAAATGCGGCTGAGATATAGATATTTAAAAAAAAATAATCAAAGTTAATGTGTATTTTAAATGGGAAATCTTTATACGCTTTGGTCGAGTACTTTGAGTTAATATTAAGGGCTCAAATTTTCAGGGAATTTTTTTTGGAACATTTTCAACAAGATTTTGAGTTGGGAGCGAAAAATTAAAAATAGTCGTGAAAAAAAAATCACCCTAATATACATATAATCTTATTATGACTCTATTTTGTTTCATGTTATTATTTTATACACATGTATGAATGTAATTTTAATGTGATTGGAAATAAAGATTTTTATTATTATTATTATTATAGTATTACACTCGAGATTATGTGAATTATTCACTCGGATGATTTAAGTCCCTTGTCTGGTGACTCGAGATGTAAACCTTATCCTCATGAATAATAGTAAGGCATTATTTCTCATATAATAATATACTATTATAGGTCAGCAACACAGAAGTAAAATAATGCTTCTATTATTTTTTTCATGTGGCAGCCAACATGTTAAAGAAAATATTAAATTACCTAATGGGGGCTGCAGCATGCCTCCATTTTTTTCACAGTGCCCAATTGGATGAATTTCACTAGAGTCAACTAACCTCCAAAAATCATTTTTATTATCACTTCCATCCAGTCTTAACCTTAATCTTGGTCCTAATATACTTATAACAGTGGCAATGCATGTAGAAGTAACATTTCTTGGATCTAATGCCTCCAATTTCATACCAACTTTAAAATCATTTAAAGGAGGTGTAGGGGTTTGCTTAAAGCAATTATTTGGAGCTTGAATGGCATTTGATTCATGTAAATATTCCTCCCAATCAAAAGGATTGTATGTTTCATACTGAAAAGGCCCAGGAGATATTCCCTCTAAGGGCGTTGACGGGGCAATAGCTGCTACCCGAGTTTGAACCTCATTTTTCTTTTGATGTTTATTCATGCAATAGGTTGAACAGTATTCTTTTGATGGGCTATTATTTCCCCTTATAACATTATCACATTGAATGCAGGCGCCTTTAATATACGCTTTTCGAAATTCAGCTAAACAAGTCTCAGAGCAAAACTCTTTTTTCCCATTTGTTGTTGGAAACACATATTTCAATGGTAATTTAGTTTCATTGCACCAAGTACATGCTGTGTTCTTTTTTGGTGGCCTTCCAGGTCCTCGGACTTTTAAAGACGATATGATATTCGAAGACATTGTTTCTAATTTCCTCTACATTAGTATATTATCCACTCAAACAAAAATAACATCTTCTTGGTGTCGGTAGCTTCAGGTCATAATATTGAACGATTCAAGTCAAGTCAAATGTAGAATATTATAATTAATTCACACAATACCGAACTTATTTATTTGACATGGAATATACAAAACCTTTTCATGAATTGTTAATTGTCAAACATAAAATGTCAACAAGCAAAAAAATATGCGCTTGTTTGGGCAGGAATTCCAACATACAGAAACAAAAATAACCAGGCCGTCATCCAAGGCGCTAATTTTAAAACTTATCATGGACAAAATTCTATAAAACTAATTTAATTTAATAAACAAAACTAGCTTAATGCAAAGTAAAATAGGCATTTTAAATTGTTTGTTTTGGATTTCATTACCACAGAACAGAATAACCTCATAACGGCAGAGATATATCTGAAAAATATTCTATTTCTGTGGCTGAGAAATATATTTCTCAGCCACAGAAATAGAATATTTTTCAGAGATATCCATATCTCTGATATTTTTGTGATCTCAGCAGAATAACCTCATAACGGCAGAGATATATCTCAGCCACAGAAATAGAATATTTTTCAGAGATATCCATATCTCTGATATTTTTGTGATCTCAGCATAACGGCACAGAGCATAACGGTCAGGGTTGGGTATCTACCTACATTTTTGTTTTCGACATGTAGAAAACCTTTTTCGACGGTAGAAAACGTAAAAAAGTAGAATACTGTCAAATATCAAAAAATGTGAGGTTATGCAAGTTTGTTGTTTATTATGATTTGTTAAATGTTGTGAAAAATCAGACACCTACCATAAATTTGAAGTTATTTGGAGTTTTTTAACATTATTATGTTGGGAAAAAAAGGGCCGCGTTTGGTTGGGAGACCCCAACATAATTTTTGGCATGAGGGCAAATTTTTATCAATTATAGAGAAGTGGAAGGAGAAGGTCGAATAAGGTAATTTACGTAGGTAGAAAACCCTATAGGTTTTCGACGCAAGTCGAAAACAAGTTTTCTACCCTTTTCTACCAAGGTAAATTACCTAAGGTTTTCTACTGACCCAACTCTGATAACGGTTATGCCTGGCACACAAAACTAGAACCTTCTAGCCATAACCTCAATTCTTTAAATGTCAAAGTTTTGTAAAACGCTGTGTCTAGTCTCACGCTGACGTGAACCGTTCACGGTGAACGCAATTTAATTTTTATTCTCACGTCAAAATAATTTTAATTTTATTTTCACGTTTACTTCGTTAACTTTTGGTTTTTGGTTAAACCTAAGGCTGCCAACTTTGCTCAGGGGCGGTTTTAGACATCTACTGAGGGGGGGGGCGAAAATAGAAAAAGCCCATGTATAGTGGACATAATTCTGCCAGCATTATTTTATTTAATTTTACTTTTTAGGTGTCGTGTCATTTGATTTGACTAAGTATGTCATTTGATTTAATTATGTAAATGTAATAAAATTTACTAATAAAATCGAGACTCTTTTACTGCAGCCAAACCAACCCAAACTCAACAACACAACCCAACCGACCCCGCCCCATTGGGCCCCCCCGCCCCATTGAGCAAAAAACCCAACTAAAATGGGCAAAATGAACGATTTTCCAATAGTTAACTAATTAGTTTTAACCACAGACAAAATAGACTTGCCTTAGGGAGAAAATGATACGGCCGGGCGGGTGCCTGAACGGGTGCCTGTTTTCCAGTTCGCATCATTCATATTTGAGCAGTTGACCTGTGAGGATATATTATTTATGTAAAATTCTTTGAACATTATGGGTAAATGTGTTGTCAAAGTGTGTCCTAGTCGTAGTGAAACTAGTTCCAGCCAATTTCAACCAATTTCCTTTTTCCAGTAAGTAGTAACTAATTACGAGATAAATTTTAAGCGATTTTATTAATTTTGCATGTCAATACCTTGCGTGCGCACATAGATGTTGTATTGTTCTCTCATGTGCACAGAGCCGTACTTCGTTCATTCTGGAGCGTAAAACTAGATGAATTTCTTTGATAATCCACTAGGAATATTTTAAATTAGATACCGCTCGTACGAAATTATTTAATACGGGCCTGGCAGAATACATATCTTCTCTTATATAATATATAATATAATGTATACATTCCCTTGCCCCCCTTCCCCGATTTATGGCACGCTCAGGGGTGTTCCTGAAACTTTGCAAATTGTGCAGCCATCTAGCGTGAAATTGTACTAACTAAGATCAAATTGTACTAACTTATCTCAAAAATTCAAAACTTGTCCAAATTTAATTAATATCAGATTTCTGCCCAGAATCACCCTTGCATACGTAAAATTATAATAAATTATTAGCGCTTTGGTTTTTCTTATGAAAAATCTACAAACTAAGTTTAGTTGTGTAATTATTTTGAAAGTTCAGAAGATAATTAATAAACAGCTAAAAATACTAACCTGTCCATTACATCCACTATCAGATCACAGATTCACAGAGTGCCGACGCCGACAGCCTGTCGGCGTCAGCAACAGGATTTATAGGTTAGGTTAGTGATGACATAACGTTTGAGTTTTGACGTTGACATTTGACGCCTTGCGCCAGATTATATAATAAAATCTTATTCCCTCTATAGTGAAATTTTGCTAGAAATTTTGTCCCAATTTTGAGATTCGATCGAGAACGATCGATTTATTATTTTTTTCTAATTGAAGGCAATTTTGAAAATTGTACTAGAATTGCCGAAGAGGTGCTGACGTACTAGAAGCTATTTTTTTGTACTAGAAAAGTACAATTGTACTAAAAATCACACCCCTGGGCACGCTGGTTTCATGTTAGCGATACTGAACAGGGCAAGTCTATTTTGTCTGTGGTTTTAACTCATCATTACCCACACAGCACACTACGTCCATTGTACGTCCATTGAAGGTCCAAACTAAGTACATTACACAGAACATAAGAGAATTAAAAGCGCTGTAGTGAAAAGTGGCAACAGGCATTGTTTGATTTTGAAATCTAGCAGGCTTGGAAATCCGAGGTGCCAGTAAGCCATTGGTGGAAATATCCACACGATTTCTGCGGCGCGAATTTTGAATTTTTATTTAAAATATGGAATTATAACCGAAAATTGTTAAAATTTTATATTTTTTTGGGTTTTTAAAGAACCATATAGTTAATATTGTTCTTTAAAAATCAAAAAATATAAAATTTCAACAATTTTCGGTTATTTTCCACTAATTAAGTGGAAAAACACACATTTTTGTTTTTTTTATAAATATATTAAACAAAATATACACTTAATTCAATTTTAAATTAAATTATAACCAACAAATAATATTTAAATGAAGAGAAATTCAAAGTTAATTATTCTATAACTTTTAGTGAAATTTAAAACAAGGTTTATCAAACATGTATAATAATTTATAATTATTTAGGTATAATTTATCAAAAAGTATGACATTTAATTGATCATTTTCAAAAATTTTAATTTTGTGCCACATAATAACAATCTTTATAGGTATTTTAAGATTTCTTAATAAAAATGCAAAGGTTTATTAAACAAATTAACTCTAACCTATTACCTACCATCAAAATGTGATAAATTCTTGATAAACAATAGTTCAATACTTATTGAAAAACTATTGATATTAATTTAGTAATTTATTTTAACTGAATCTTTGACTAATTTAAAAGATTTTATATTTTACTTTACAAGTTTATCTTAAAGCTATTATACTTTTGCTAAGACTATTGCCAATAATTATGTTAAACATATGAAAACATTCATTTTAAATAGATAACATCAAATATATGAAATTCTTCAACAAAATAACTAGCTTTACTTGCTTTCAAATATTTCAGTCTCGTTTTAAGACGATCATTCTTTTGAATGGGGAATATACGAAATATTTATTACAAACAATTAATTTAATCGCGCATATAGGCACTAACGGTATATTTAAAATAACACTACGCTTTTTGTGTGTACTCTTATAATTTTTAGGAATTGTTAGCAAAAGTATGATTATAATTTGTGTTTTAAATAAGAAGCACAATACTATAGTTTTGTAAAATATAGAATTTTTGGCAAAAAGGAATTCCCACTTATCCAAAAATTAAATTACATTCTTTGCAATATTTAATTTTTAGTAAAATTGGTTTAATTTAAATTAATAATCAATAGAACCACTTCAATCTAAATGTTAAAAATATTGTAATTATGTATTTGGCAAAATTAAAATCTTTATGTACCTATCTTTTATATAAAATACTTTGTATGATATAACTGTCTGGTCAATATTAAGTACTGTCTGTCCTCTCTAAGTTGGCGGAACTAAGGAATTTTGTAGTTTAGATATTAAAGAATTGTCGTACTGTGTGCTTTTAAAACAGATTTTATATTATAAATAATACTAGTACATATTATATACTAGTATTATTTATAATATAAAATCTGTTTTAAAAGCACACAGTACGACAATTCTTTAATATCTAAACAACAAAATTCCTTAGTTCAGTCAACTTAGAGTGGACAGACAGTATTAATTGATTGTCTTCTTTCTTGTTCATGATTCATGGGTTGAACCAGCGTCTTTTTCTTGATTCAATGAAGAATATTCAACTGCAATTAATATTTTCTATGTACTTTTGCAAAGAAGTTTGATAAATTCAAGTCCTGTCTACTTCTTCCATTAACACAAACCCAAACCTGAAATCAATATCAATTTTAAAATCAATTTAAATTGTAAAAAGATTGATATTACCTAATAATTTTTAAAATTAAATAAAAATAATTTAGCAATATTTCTGCTGAAGCAAATAATTGAATGGTTTATTGTAAAAACAAGGGAAGTGACTAACTAAATATGATTATTATTTTTTAATTTAAAAATCTTATAAAAACTAATAATGGTGACCTTGTGCTGTTTTAACATGAAAATATTCTTTTTTAATATCTTGCTAAATAATAATCTAAAGCAGAAGTGTATGTAATATAAAAATGTAAGATTGCTTGTTTTTAACAATAAACAATTTAATTATATTTGGAGTAAAAAATAAAAGTGTACTTTCTTTAATGGACAAGGCTTTTACTTTTTTTATATTTGTATTGTAACTATGGATGTGTGAATATTGAATTCAAGAATTATTTGAATAGTTTGAATGTTTCAAATTTTTAAATGGTTTAATAAGAAAATTAAAATTTTCCAATAGTAATTGAAGAAATGGAACATGGAAT